CGGGATACGCCCACTCGCATTACTCCCTATGGCACGGGATACGCCCACTCGCATTACTCCCTATGGCACTGGGATACGCCCACTCGCATTACTCCCTATGGCACGGGATACGCCCACTCGCATTACTCCCTATGGCACTGGGATACACCCACTCACGTTACTCCCTATGGCACCGGGATACGCCCACTCGCATTACTCCCTATAGCACTGGGATATACCGACTAACGTTACTCCCTATGGAACTGGGACACGCCCACTCATGCACTGTGTGGCAGTTAGGGAACTGATCTCTGGTCTGTCGTTGATCCCTACAGGAAGGCCGTGTTGCGATTACAAGAGTGTCCAACCTGCTGCTGTGCATGTATGCCAAAGAGACCGTTGGATTTGGCATGCTGAAAGCCAAGGTAAGACATCGGCGCCGCCATATTGTATCCGGGTACGGCGTCCGCCATCACCGAGGGGTCCCGATACTGAGAGGTGAATGACACTGACAGGAGAATGACGCAATTGACGGTTGGCGTCCCAACACAAGTACATGGTGACGGTTGGCGTCCCAACACAAGTACATGGTGACGGTTGGTGTCCCAACACAAGTACATGGTGACGGTTGGTGTCCCAACACAAGTACATGGTGACGGTTGGCGTCCCAACACAAGTACATGGTGACGGTTGGCGTCCCAACACAAGTACATGGTGACGGTTGGGGTCCCACAACAGTGTCCCGGCACAAGTACATGGTGACGGTTGGCGTCCCGGCACAAGTACATGGTGACGGTTGGCGTCCCAACACAAGTACATGGTGACGATTGGCGTCCCAACACAAGTACATGGTGACGGTTGGCGTCCCAAGACAAGTACATGGTGTCGGTTGGCGTCCCGGCACAAGTACATGGTGTCGGTTGGCGTCCCGGCACAAGTACATGGTGTCGGTTGGCGTCCCGGCACAAGTACATGGTGTTGGTTGGCGTCCCGGCACAAGTACATGGTGACGGTTGGTGTGCCAGGACATCAAGTAATCATAGAACAGTGACATGCTGACATTCGGGGGGTCACGGGACAATGATTTTGGGGGGGATGAGCATCACCGGCACCCTACATTCCATGCCTCAGGACAAGGATGCATTGACACTCTGGGGGTTCTGGCGCCTGCCCTTGTTGCCGGGGGAGGGGGGGAGTTGGCGGCATTTCCTGTACTAATCCCTCTTCTTCTTCTCCTTTCAGGCCCAGGCATTAGTCAGTTACCTGGAGGAGCCTCTCAATCAGGTGTCTGCCAGTTAGGAGGAGGAGCTCGCACCCGTCACCTGGGGGCCATGCGGGGGACGGCTGACGCGTGAAAGCCCGAGGTCACCGCCAATAACACGCGCCGTCATACATGATGCTTCCGTCTGATCCTGTAAATCATCCATATCCCATGTCGCTGTGCCCGTCCGTGAAGTGACAGGTCCTCTTTAAAGCCTACTGATGCCGATCTCCAATTCTTCTAGGGACGGGGGAGGAGCATGTGACCTTCTCCCCTCCTCCTCAGAGCCGAGAGCGGCCAATCGCAAAGCTCGGATAGCTGTCGCATGGAGGAGGGGAGCAGGCGACGCGGCGGGAGAGAGGTCTGCGAAGAGAACCTGTCGCTGTGCCCGTCCACGAAGCGACAGGTTCTCTTTAAAGCCCGCCCACTGACGCCAATGCCCCCCCCCCCCCCCCCCCCGCCGTGCCCCCCCCCCCCCCCCCGCTTTGTTTGTCCATCAGGAAATGCCCCGATGGGGGGAGCATGTGACCTTCTCCCCCTCCTCCTGAGGGGGCGGAGCTCCGAGCAGCCAAATGCCTGGCCTGGACACTGTCACAGGGGGGAGGGCGGCCAATCGCAAAGCTCGGAGGCTGTCACATGGGAGCGGGGGGTAATTTGGTGGGAGAGAGAGGTCTGCGAAGAGAACCTGTCACTGTCCTGGACGGGTCTGAACACCTTCGCTGTATATTCCGTGTGAACGTCCCCCTTCTCCTGCCGAGCGTGAAAAAGATTCACCGAGTGTGTGTATAGGACAATGAGAGGGAAACAGTAAAAGGTATTTCAAAATGAAACTTTGTACAGAG